ATCGTATCGACTTCCGTGTACCGAGAATATGCAAGCAATTTAATTACAAAGTATAAAAGGCGTCCCAAACATTGCCGTATGTACGATATAGGTACGGACTTATTCATTATAACGAATTAACGACGGCAGAATACAAAAATGCTATTATTATTATTATTATTATTATTATTTTTTTTTGTTGACATGTTGCCTGAAATAAAAACAATCAATGCAATTTACAGGTGATTATACCTCTTGTCTAATATAGGTATACAATATTGTCATAATAGTTTTTCCCGGACATTTTAATTGATACGTACGTGGCGTTATACGCACTTTATTTTCAACGGAAACAAAATTTAATTTTACATAAGTACTTACGGAGCCGCGAAAGTCGATTATCTCAGCAGTGGCATTGCGGCAACTCTGTCAAAGGCAATAACTTACTAACGATAAAATGTACCCGCGGTTTTCTGTCCGAAACAATGCCATTTAAAAACCTATAATACTATTTTCGTTTTTACCATAATATAGTACCTACTACTATCACGGTATTAAATCTCATTAAAAACATTATAGGATAGTGTTGGTACCAATATTGCCTGCTTATCTTCGCGTCGACGGAGCGAAAAGTTATTGTTGGGCTTTTATTTTAAGCACGAATTTTAGAACCTTAATCATTTTTTATATTCTGATTCTAGTTCTTGATAACGTCGGTTTCGGTTGATATACAAGTTACAGACTTAAGTTTAATTTTTTTTTAGATTCTGAGTGGAGTGAAGAAGTTTATAGTTTTACAAAGGTGTTTATTTTTTTTATTTTTTTTTTTTTTTACTGTGCACAACTTTTCTACCAGAAAACTTGCTCGGATTTCTACGTGTAGTACTTGTTATGAATGGAAATCAGCGTGGGGAGATACTTTAAGGTGGTTATTTGTCAATTTTCTCAAGAGTTTTCTCATTAAATGCGAAAAACCAAAAAAAAAAAAAACGAGAAAATATAAGAAATGTAGGTATTAGTTCAAATATACTACAGCCTTCTTTTTTTTTGTGCACAAGTTTTCTACTAAAAATTTTGCATCAAATTGATAGCAATGTTTCTTAATTTCACTAGGGAGGTATAATAGAGAAATAATTTTTCGATTTTCTCAGAAGTTTTCTCAGCAAATGTGAAAAACCGGGATAAAACATGGGACAACTGGGAAAAACTAAGGGAAATTGGTACAATATTAAATAAATGTGATTAAAGAAAATATATAAAGCCTATTTATTTATTTTACTATAAAATTGCATATTTATTGTTAACCAAGCATCACTATCAACTGAACTCCGCTCAGAATTGTTTTTCGTAAGCAATGGTTTGTCGTTGCTTACAGGTACACATTAAATTATCTGCAGCTGCACCGGTCTCCATTATACTAGGACGTTCTTATTCAATCTGAATGCTTTGCCTTCACTTTGTCGCTGCAACCAATCATCTTTTTTTAATACCGGTATTAAAAAAATAATTTACATAATGCATACAGACATTATAATGAATTTTTATTTGTGTTATGCTACTAGGTGGTATGTATTTGTTCAGTTGTACCTAACAATTACTCCTAATAAAGAGGAGAGTGAATAAAGGTGTGAATTCATTTACACCCCCTTGAAGTCGTTAAACAAATTTAAGTATACTAAATATTTTTAATATGTACAATAGTCGGTTATCAGTGCCCAATAAGATATTAATATTTTAATTTTAATGGTTAGTAACATCTATTAATGTAAGTCTAAAAACACCTAATCAACAAAGGTACGTGGCTCCAATTACCGCTCCTGGCCCAAATAGAGATATATTAAAAGATATGTGAAAAATAAATACTACTACGCAATCCAGGGAGATTTAAAAATTCGAATTGATCACAATATTATTAAAGTAGGTAAGTACTAAGAAAAAAAAAGTTCATATTTTTTTTTAAATATAAATAACATCAATTAAAGTCTTTTCGTTATAAAATTTGTGTAAAGTTTCAGATACTCGTAGTCTTCAAATTGGAACTTATAGTATCCTCGGAGTTTTAAAGTTTGATTAGGCTTGTACAAGTCTGAATTGTAAGAGTTCTTGTTTAATGTCCACAACGAAAAACAAAAAAAAAAAAAATCAACAATAATTGCTTTTGTCACGTATAGCTCCGGAGTTAAAGCATACGAGTTACTCTAAAAAGACGACAATGTATATTATAGTAAACTGCATCGCCATAGGTTTAAATTAGGGAAGCAGCGGTTATAATTGCATATGAGGTCGTATGGAAAAAAAAATAGCGGTGTAAGTGAGGGAGGGGGGGGGGTGAATGGTAGCAGTCAAGTGTCGGGAACGGCCAAAACAAGGGACTATTGGTATACGAGGGGAGGGTATCTTCAAAGAGAATGCCTACGTTTTAAATTGCAATCCGTCTCTTGCACAAAGTATATTCCTACTTGGATGAAAAATGAATTTGGTAAAAAGGTAACGACTGGTTATGACTGAGAATATAACTTGACGTATTTTAAAAAAAATTGTGAAGAAAACTATATGGATTTCGTGTTTGAAGATATAATCTGTGTGGACAATTTCTATACACAATGATGGTCCAGCGCATACATGTGTTAATCATGCTCGTTTCAAATGTAAATATTCTTATTTTTGTAAATGGATTCCTTTCACTCTTTCAGCAAAAAAAAAAAAAAAAAATTTAAAGTTTGGTTCATACTCATTGTTTAATTTTAAGTTATAACCGACCACGACATAGTTGGTTAATCAAGTATAATGTATTATTAAAGATGCAACAAAGCGTTTTCCTATATTACTAGCCAAATTTCATCGCGATTTTGTTTTTCTCGAAATTAAAACAATTTTCAAAATGTATTTAACCAATTTAACGATAATCATTTCAATTATATTGACATTCGGAAGTGATGTAAAGAATGTTGGACTTGGGATGGTTATTTGACGGTTATTTAGATGTAGAGCGTATAGTGCGAAAGCCAGGACTGGTATTTATAATAATTATTAATTGTATGTAGGTAGAGAGTAGTGTTCGTATATTATGCAGTGTTTACGGATATTTTATTATTAAAATACGTGACACGAGTTATTTTGAATCCCCCCCCCCAAAGTTTATGCTAAACATTAGTAATTTCGGCGCAAGAAGTTATGAACATTTTCTTAATATTGTTCATAGACGTGTGACTAAAATTACGGTTTTAAAATATATATATATATATATGAAAAATATATTTTATTTGCGATTGAAATTAAATAATTTCCAAATAGAATTATTTTTTAATGTTAAAAGATAGAGTTACGATTTTTTAAAGTTTGGAAAAAAAAATCGTTTTCGCCGTGTTATATTAAAATAAGAAGCGCACAGAGTATATACGCCTAATTTACATAAAATTATCACGATTATTACGGTCCATTTTGCAAACGAATTTAATTTACTGTTATTTAAATTGTTTTTTCTTTTAATGTTTGTTTATTAATCGAGAGTGAAAATAGTTTCGTCAAAAGAACAATATTATCTTTTAACACGTATTATATTATTAAGTTCATGTCTTGTATTTTTAATATATTATGTATATTTTGCCTGCATAAACGATAATAATAAAATCCTTAAAATAAAGAATACTGTGTTTTCCAAGTTTTGAATAAAACGAAACGTTTTCGTCAATCTACTTATTGTGTTCACATTCTCGAACTGGGTAGAAACTAAGTATTGAGGGTGGGGGGTGGGGCGGTGATCTATCCAACATTTTCAATTACCGTATTCCCATACTTTTGTTAATGTTTATTTACTAATGGATACTCCTTTAATCTAATTGTTCAGTATCTCAAGGGACTAGGAGAGAATAGTAAATAAACGATGTTGTTTACGTTTTGCATTTTGTTTTAAGGTCTGAACGGACTGGAGGGAACACCGCATAGGGATTATGCAGTATTTTTATATCCAGGTTAAAAAAATATTTAATTCCGGTACTGCTCGTACGCATTTGACATCAACACTATAGAAATATATATATGAATATTGAATATAATGTATCAAAAGTGCATTGTTGGAAAATTCGCTTTTTGACAGTATAACAAAATACTACCGAATTTACCATGTATTTTAAATTGTTAACTATACGATCTGTATTATATTTTTTCTTTGGGTTTCGACCGTTTGAATAAACAAATAATAATATTATATCTGATACATTTACACGAGAAAAAAAATAGTTGTCAAGTTGTTTTTCCGTTATTCCAAGTACTTTTTGATAAGTTTTGTACTTTATGAAATTAAAAAGTAAAGATTTTTTTTTAAGTAGACATTCCTATCTATCTATATATTTATATATAGTTTTGCATTTAAGGAGTGGTTCATTAAATTCCGATATTGAATGCAAGGCTGATTTGTATATTATTGTAAATATGTAATGTTTTATATTCAAATATTTAAAATCTAAACAAACAGTTTTCGATATTTTTTTTTATTCGTGTATCCTTGTAATATTATTGTGTATAATCATTCAATTATTTATTTCCAAGAGTATACATTACGATTGCGTTCAACTATAGAGATAAATATAAGTATTTAAATTACGGATCCCCAAGGAGTTTATTTTGCTCTTATTATTCTACTTACTTCAATCCGAAATGAAGCTTAAAAAAGGTGCATAAGTTCAATTAATTGTATGATGACTTACAGTGTTACTCGAGATGTACTTTTCAATTTAAATAGATGTCGATGATTACAGACAGAACCAATAATATTAACGTTATGTATTCTTTGTTTTTATGTTTTTAATGACGATAAATATAATTTTGAGGACAAAAAACTTAAAAAATAAACATATGCCTTAAACATGTATTTAAAATTTAAAAAAAATACCTAAATGCATTTGTTTTTATATAAAACGATTTAAAACGAATGAATATATTTATTATCGACAAAATTATTGTCGAGTCAAACCGACTAGTATGTTTTTAAATATTATACATTTTTTTTTTCTTTCCCAGGAATGAGTATGAAGAAGATTTTCGGACTACTGTACGTGCTGTGCGAATATTTGTGTTTCGTCGCATGCAATTCTTTGATCGAATCTCACGAACTGTTAGTACACCATGTAAGTGTATTGATAATATTTTACTGAAATACGAGAATAATTTAGTATTTACAAATTGCATCGCATATAATATGTATATTCTTAATAAAATTTGGGAAAAAATTGTTGAATATTTTAGTAAATCAACCTATTTTTTCATGTTTTTAAAACACGTGTTTTTGTATTGGAGTTTCGAATATCGACTTTTAATACATTCAAATAAAAGGATAATTCGTTATCATCGGCCCTCTATATAGAGTCGAGATAAAACGAAATATCGATATTATAAATATATAATAATTATGCACAGAGTAAACACGGACCAGCGGAAGGGGCCGCGCTGCCACTTGGGCCCCCCATCACCGTGAAACCGCGTAGAGTATTACGTTACATATTATTTCGGAAAATTAAAATTGTATGAATAATAATAAGCTGCACAATATCAGTATTCAAGTTTCCGGTGTACAAACAATATACGTGGACGCTTTCGAAAAATATATATTCTACGCTTTGCAGGGATGTACAACGGAATATTAAAAAATAGGAGCCATCACATTATACCATACATTTATCTACACACACCCTTACCCCTATCCTTTATAATAAATGTGAAAATATTATCTAGACATTTGTAACGAAATACTGTATAAAAAAAAAAAAAAAAAAAACGCATACATATTGACAGGAAAACCGATTGTGCCGCGCGTTATTGTGGTTCGCTCTGTACATAATATTGTAATTTTTCGGTATCCTCTATAATACATAGTCTATATATATATATACATAGTGTTATACCATAGTCCATATAATCAAACCGATCCTTTTAAGAGGATACTAACCTAACCTATCGTTGCAACGGTTTTGTTGTTATTATTATTTTTATACATACCTACCTACGTCGAAAACATTATCACATATGCACTATAGCTAAAAAAAAAAAAAAACGCGGTTCTGATAGTGTTTTAGACTAGGAGATAGTTATATAGGTACAGGTAATGCTTTTAGGTTAATAACACGTAGGCGGCAATAAAAATGGTCGAACATAAATATAGCATACAAAATTAAAAAAAAAAATAAACGAAAGTTTCTGGTTGAATATTGGGTTTTTATTACGAATGGGATTTTTTTTTTTTAAACGTTCAGTTACGTCGATACTTATAATTGTTGTTATTTGGATACGATTTTTTTAAAAAAAACTTATCATAAACACGATAAAGAAAAAAAAACACGAACGATTTTTATTGTATTATAGTCTTCAGTTTATCAAACGGACGCATATCTTCTTCTTATTTTTTATCTACGGTTTTTATAATAATTATTGTATTCTAGTTTTCATCACCAGCACTATACTTCTTTAAAAATGAAAACCGAACATTTCGCTTGGTGCAGATCAAATACCTGCCGCAACTGCAATTTCAAATTACATTAAATAAAATAGTATTTTACTGACTACAACAACACGATATTATAATATTAATAGTAATATCATTCCATTGTTTGTTGTTGCACTGCGCATAATAGTGTATACGTATCTGGGTACGCCGCAGTGCACACGGAGATAGGATTATGCCATCATGCAAAACGGAAATTCCGTAATAATAATTTTTACAAAAGATTCCTAGATCCGTATTTTCTTGTGGATAATATTCCCACTAGGTCGCGAAATCAAATTATGATGCACTATTGTTTTATATTTATTTCAGTTTAACGTAAAATTTCGTGTTTTCACACCGTATAGAATGTTTGATCGTCGTTATTATACAGACGACGTGATGTCATTATAGTATTACACAAAAGTCGTTAAACACGCTATGAATCGCAGGAATGAACGATACCAAACATTTCGACACTCGTTATATACTTCGATTTTTCCATGTCGATACCGATGACACTCGATGTACCTATAGGTACTGTGCTTTATCCCTTCGGTATCTCGAAAATATTTAGCGTTTTTAACAATATCTGGTCACTTGAAAATGATACGGTTCGATGTATTGATAATTTGAAAAATCGCTTTTAAATAGATTGTAGGGTAAAAAAGAGTTTAGGTTTCGAATATATAATCTGGAACAGCGATTTCAATCAAAACTAATGTCTATTTTTCTTTCTCTGTAGCATCACGGTGAAAACGACGTGAGTCACTTCACCAACGTATGGTATTTCCATTCGACCAACGACGATCTGGATGAGGTCCACGATGTCATCATACAAAATGGATTTTCGTATGCAGAACCGGTAAGAAAGGCAAACAAATATCACGTTTAATAATATTTTTTATAAATTGAAAAGAAAAATGCTGTTTAATTTATTATTTACACTCGTAAATAGAGTAAAACAAAAAAAAAAAAAGGATTAATTGTTAAAAATGAAAATGTTTTTATGACTGCAGTATTAAAAACAAAATAAATATCGTGTCATTAAATGAATTTTAGAATAATACATGCAATCAGTGCAGCAAAAGTCACACGTGTTACCAGAGTTGGTAAATACGATTAAAAAAGAAAAAAAAAACAATACATGCATATCAATATTAAGTATTTATAATGTACCCTGCACGATGATATTGGTTTTTTCAACCTTTTTAACAATCCAGCTTTGCATAAAGCCACAAAAAAATGTGTTTTTATATTGCAAGTACTTAGATTGCTTTTGTATACATTTCCCGATGGAAAAAAATCTTTTAAATCCAAATATTCCATTATTTTTGCATACGAATGAGTTTTTTGCATTTCGAATCGCGATAATATTATTAATATTATATAGTTAGGTTAATTTAGATGCCTAAACTATAGTAATTTATAATATGTATTTGAAATAAAATTTGCAGGCTGAGAATGAGAGTAATTGTAACTTGTAAGTGTGAATGTTTACATTTATTTTCTTTACAACTTTTTCACGTGTATTTTAATTTTCATCATTTCAATGTTGCAAACGATAGGTACATGGTATACCAAACGTTTACAAGGCAAAAATGGAAAGTCATCCAGAAATTCATCACGAACCGGCCCATCATAACACTAACGTTTTAAAACAACACGATAAAGTAAGTTAAAATTATTGAAAAACAATTTTATGAGGTTAAGCATTTACCCGATAAGGGCTTGATTTGGGAAGGCTGATTTATAGGGAGCAAACTATTTGTTATTTTATTTTTATTCCTAGTCAATAATTCTTTATATATTTTAAGTTCTGAGGGGAACGATGATTATACTGGTTTCAAATCTGTATTTAATAGGAGGGGTTCCTGAAAATATAAAAGTATATATTTATTTAGGGTGTATGGAGTAGGGGTGAAAAATTAAAAATGGGTTTACAAAAAAAGCTCAAACGATTCCACAATGATTAAAAAAGTAGAAATCAAATTCATTTAATATATATATTTAATATATATTTAATATATGATTATAGGTACTATGACGTATAGAATATCTACGGTTATTTATTTTTGAATTATTACAAAATAAGATATTAATGCATAGTACAAATAATTCACCTCCTAAAAGTACCGACTAGATTAATTTTCCTACTATAAAGTATTATAGATGTTAAAGTTGTAAATCAAATCAATTTCCCTTACATAAATCGCGTACTCAAACACGCACACTCACAAATAAAAACACGCTTATAAAAGTAAAAAAAAATAAATATTTTTATCATAAATTAAAAATAAATATTATTTTGGTGGGCGTCGATGCTGTGCTACAGTAATCTGTAGGTATTGTATCAGCGCCTGGCAGGGTTTTGGAAGGGGGGCTGTAGTCTAAGGTCTCAGAACTAATAGAAGTAATAACTACCTAAAATTCGTCATCGCTTTGTTCCGTTTCAAATGTAAACACATGTACAGTTACAGATCCTTACATTTGTTTGCCTATTCAAAAACCCTTAGAAACTTTAAACCGTATTTTAAAATAAATAATAAAAATTAATATGATTTACGAAAATTGTATTGTTGTAGGGATGTGTATTTTACATACACATCAGACTACTTTCTGATGTTAGTGTCATTTACGGTTTGGATTCCGGAAGTATACTGCGGTCAAACGACAATATGGTTTGTGCGTTTATTTTTTCCGGATTTCTGCAGTTCCGGACCATAAGGTTTATCTATTTATTTTTTCCGGATAAATATGGTCTGTGACTATACACTATACACAATTCCGGGAATCTACGGTCCGATGAGATTACTTTCCGGGATTATACATGTGTCCCAGTGTGTACCTATCGTGTTGTGTTTGCTGGAATATTTCTTTCTTTTAATTTTTTTAAAACAACATAATTATTTTCATTAAACATTTTTATAATTATAATCCGTCGACTTATTACTTCATTTCAACAATTTCCATTCATCACACACTTTTTCACTTATTGGAATCGTTTTGTTCTTAATATATTTTATTACATCGTAGTCGGTGAATATTAATTGTAATCATTTTTTATGAAACGTTTGCCCGGGAATTCTGAAAACTCGTGGTTCACCCTTAGATCTTTTATTCGGGTTTTTTTTTACTGAAACTTTATTGATTAATAAAAAAACACTTAAAAACGTTCAAATTGTACCTTAAAGATGCAGTTTTTTTTTTATTTATTCGAAAATGTTTCTAGATTCATGCCGGTTTTTCAAAAAAATTTTTAAAAAAAACCTCCAACAATTAACACGATACCTACATTGATTCGTGGAATTTTGGATCTCATGGAACCCCTAGTAGAATAAACTTATAGTTCCGCTCGGAATAGCATTTTGATTGCAATTAATTATTGTTGCTTCGGTAGGTATGCAAACGAAATTACTCTATGTCCTATATTATACATTCTAAACTCCTCACGTACAACGGTGGCCTACTCACAGTGCGAAGTGTGTCCGGTTTTTTGAACCATTTTTCATCCAAAAGACGCGTGCACACGTCATACATGTCATCGTGTTCACGGAGTTGATTACTCGATTTTGAATGAAGCGGTCGTGTTTTTAATTTGTACGGTGTAACACATTATACTATAAACAAGCCAACGACCAAAAAATAATAAATTGTTATTATAATTTATTCGAGCGGTTATCTTTGCTTTACTGCTTCGATTCTATTATTTCGGTATACATAATACAGATAGTCAACGACTAAGCGTACGCCATTTGTATACATAAATAGTATATTAACATAAATTCATTAAAAATGCAAAGATAATAGAAATATTTTCGCACGCGTGACAAATACCAAATTTTCTACGATTCAAGATTGGAATCGTACAAAATAAATATTGTTACAAAAAGATTATGCATTTATTTATTTTTTAATTTGTTTACGTTAACGCAAGCCATCTATAGGATTTATTTTATTTTTGTATGTTTGTGGTCACTTGAGATTCTACGGTGTATTATTATTATTATTATTGCGATACATGTGTGTTTATAACCATATGAGATACACAAATAAAAATCTAGAGCCGATACTGCAAAAACCAATTTATTCCACTATTTTCATCTTTTTCTTCTTTTAGTCTTCAATATTTCCGTTGGTTAGTTGCGATTCTCATCGGCGCTTCTCAGTCGAAACCAAAATCCTTCAACTCGCCATAACTTTTTTTTGTCTCTGTCGTAATCCCCATCTCACCTCGGTCTCAAATCCGTCATGTCTCTCCGAATTATAAAATGCATCGGCCGTTGCTTTGGGCGAACGCGGGGTTTTTCTATTTATACGGTGTTCGTGATTATGATTCTACACTATTCACGGTTCTACGCGACGTGACCTGCACATTTTATAAATCGAATTGTAATATGTTTTATTTTCTACGCAAACGTTCGTTTGATCTCATGTTTCGCACACTTAAACGGCGACAGTCGTAAACGGGTCCGTAAATTTCCCTCGAAAGTACCCACTTTGTTTGTTTTCGTCTCCTGCTGTAGTATGTCTACATTGTATACGTATTCATTAATATACTCTTCGGCAATTATTGTTTGTATTATTATTATTTTTACAGGTATAACGAATACATCATAAAATGTACATCTTTATTACCCACAGTTAATTTATTCGAGGTCATATTGTTAAATAGGCGTCAATGTATTACGGTGTCGTTAATCCCGAAAAAACGACTAAATAAACGTATTATATGGGTATAATACGAGCCACGGCCAACTTCCGCCAACTATGTTGTAATAATCCAGTACGTGATATACCTTGAACTTCTCCACGTCGTATAAACGATAATGAATTGCTAAAATTAGGACCACGCATAATAATAATAATACATATTTCTATAATATTACGGGGTGTAAAATTTAATAATCTGGTGTGTCGAATAGTGAAACGGTAAAACTTTTTTAGGTGAACTGGGCCAAACAAGGATTTACGAGAAACTTGCATAAACGGATGCCAACGACGACGGCGGCGACGACGCCGGGCGTCCGCAGCAGATACGAACGGTATTTTAACGACGAACTTTGGAATCTGCAATGGTACGAGGTAGTTATTATATATATATATATGTATATTACTATAATGACAATGTTTTATTTCACCGGAATTGTTCGCAAAAATATGAACTTATCGTCCATAACATAATATATAGTATTTGCATTACACGTTCGCGGTTAATTTTTATTTTACGATCGATTGAGCCGTGTTGATTACGATTCTGAGCGGAGCGAGAAACGCGTTGGTTTTATATGGATGTTTATTTTTTTGATGTGAACAACTTTTTTTCACCAGAAATTTCGCTTCGATTTTTAAGTGTAGCGTGTTTATCGAAAGGAAATTTTACTAGAGATGACATTTTTTGATTTTCCCAAGGGTTTTCATAATAAACGGGAACAAATAAAGGAAATAAGGAAAATGTACGAATCGCAAATATTACGGGCTTTCGAAACTTGTATAACCAAACTCTACTCAGAATCGTTTTGCGTTAGCAATGATTAATCGTTACGTACAGATTTGCATTAAATTATTCTTCTGCCTTACCGAGTTATCATTTACAACAGTGACCCATCGCGTTATGTCTGTTTGTTTTTTGATTTTATTTTACAATCACTGTTTTCGAAATTTATTCTTACATAATTTCAATTTGTTACGCCTACTTCCCTGCTAGTTGTTAATGGCACATTTATGATTTTCAGATGGGAACCTTTCTTTTGAATACAGATTGGAGTAGGGAATAATTTTCTTAAACATTTCGATACGCATAATATTAATATTGAATAGACGAGGTGAAGTACACATAAAAAAAAATTAAAAATTAAGCCAAATCTGAATCTAATACTTAGCGAAACCGTCATTACCAAGAAACAGAACCAAAATTTAAAATTTTACCTTGATGTGAAATGAAGTTAAAGAGGTTAAAGAGGCTTAAAAAATGTAACTTCAAAAAAAATTGCTATCAAAGTTATTATTCATTTGTTTTTAGCAAGATTACCGTGGAAACTGTACCAACGACACGCCATTGGATATGAATCTTGTACCGGTGTACGAACAATTAAAATACACCGGTAAAGGTATTCGAGTAGCTATTATCGACGACGGAATAGAATATACTCATGATGATCTTAAGGACAATTATGTAAGTATTTTTACGTTTCTATTTAATTGAGGTGTTTTTTTTTTTTTTTTTACGATATTGGGATTGGCTACGGAGATTTCGAGAAAAATTAATTTTAAACTTTTATTTAGCGATTATAAAAAATCGTTTACAATATTTTCCAAATTGTATATCTACTTATTATAAAGGAGCATTCAAATTTGATTTTCAAAACGCAGACGAAATATTCTCTTTTCGTAACGCTGACAATTTTTGAATTGCCGATTGAAATTTAAATGGCTGATAAAAAGCCCGGCAAAATACATTCTACTCAACCACGATATGAAAATCACCCTGTAGGTATTTTATCGAGTGGGCATAACAGAACAGTAATTTATTTCGAAAAATAAATCTACATAATCAACGCGTAATAAAACATCGTTTTTACGGGAACATATATTATAACTCGTTCTAAACCCTAATAATATATTTTGTTTGTCGCAGTTATTTTCAGAAACCCCGCGGCCCCCTATTGTATTTTCATTTGATTTTAATCCACTATTTCGTGTAACGCATGTCCAAGCTCGATACGTTTATCGTATTTTTTTGATAATTCATACTAAAATATTATAATATTATCGTACCTATGCATAATATTATGAAAACGTAACAATATTATTATTATGTACGCTGAACCCTTGATAATCATTGATAAATCCACATTAAATGAATATTATTTACGTACCGTAAATGCCGTTATTATATTTATATAACCGAATAATATCCACGTTCATATTTTACTCAATTAAATAATATAGACGGTACGAGAATTAAACATTTTTTAGATTCTGAGATAAGCATAACTATTATAAATAGTTTGATATTATACGTATAAATTGTGATAACGTGTGCTGTTTTTTTTTTTTTTAACTTAGTAGAAAAACTCAAATTATTTTCAAATGTTTAATAGTTCCAGTTATTCTATCGTTGAAAGCTCGGAAAATAATTTATAGAGTATTTTCACTGATTTCGAATTTTAGCATCGTATGATTTTAGCTGAACAGTAGAAAAGTTGTGACCGTTTTAAAGGCTAAACATCTATTGGCTTGGAATATTATAAATTGAACCTGATCACATTTCGAGTTCTTTTCGGAACAGTTATTTGACTTTGACTGGAACGATTTATCGTCCCTTTAAATATTATTAAAAATAATGAAACTGTGGGCTTATTCTGAAACGGGCTTTTAAGTCACAAGGTTCGTGCAAAGACCTGTATTAATAAATCTGTAACGTACATTCCAGTTTTATAATAAATTTCAGATCAAAAATGCGCTTTTTCGTTCGCGGAATATAATATTACCGAGTGTTCGCAGAATATTATAAAGTTTAATATTTTCCATACGTCGTTCCAATTATAATGATAAAATATTGTATTTTAAAATTTGTCATTTTCTTTTACTTTTTACAGTGTTCCCACATGTCGTTAACTTTAATGGTTAATAATTATTAGATAGGCTCCCGTAATAATTACCATATAAATATGAACAACACGCACTACTCGTATAACGCATAAGATACATAGAGGTATAGAAGTATTTAATGATATTTTACAAAATACACTAGAGTGGTGATATGTTTGTGGCATAGGAATGGTCCTCAGTATTCATAATGGTACATATATTTTTGTTGAATTTGTTAAAATCGATTATTACATGTTTAATTCCAGGTTTCTAAACGTATTTTAAACAATAAACTATAATTTCGTTTACAATTTTAACATTATTACCTCCTACATACAAAATTATCTCTTTATAATATGAGTAAGTATTGATTTATACATTGCACGTCTAAATATTATAAAGGCAGCAAATATCCATTAAAAGATGTAATTCATGTTATTTCCATTTTACTTTTTCACATTTAAATATAAATAATACAAAATTAAACAAATTCCGCAACTATACGGATGGATATAAGGTCTCTAAACTTATTTTTAGAAACCTAAAGTTGTCTATCCCATCTCAGCCCTAGAGAATGTTATTCACTGTTAATTTTTTCAATACAATTTTTCACTTAAATATACGTCAATAGTGAAATTTTACTGTAAAGGTACACAAAAATCAGTATTCTATTCAAATCGGGGTTACTTCTTTTATGAAAAGTTTTACTTCAAAAAGTTTTTATATCGATAAAAATAAGAAAATAATAAAAATAAATAAACAACTGTTAAAACTACACTCTCCCATATTAGCAAATAAAAACCTACATGAGATCGAATAATTTAATAAAAAATAATAACGTGATCGGTATAGGCAATATCAGTGGACTATATACGCTAGTAACACTGCAGAATAGACACGATTGAGTATTCTTTATAAATTATCAAAGAACGGATTTTTTGAAAAAAATATTTAATGTAAATACATGATCTCTTTCATTATAATGGAGGTGTTGTGTAGTTCTAAAATACTTTTCGCTCGATTTCTTCATTAATGAATTTCAAAAATTGCCTTCCTCCCACGTAATCTTATTATGGATCCGTCTCTGCTATTTCCTATACTTAAGCCCGTCCTTAGGGGATTTTAGGGGTTTATCCCCGGCGCCAAAATTGTTTTTTATTATATTGGGTTGCGGGAAAATAATTATTTCAGTCAATAAAATTAGAATACCACATATTTTTGATAAATGATACTCGATTAAAATAATGTTTTATAAACTATTGGTTTGAATTGTTTGTTCGGTATATAAATGCGTTCACCGTCGTGAAATATCGTGTTTAATAATTAAATAAACAACATTTTTAGTTTCCGAGAGTATGAACTGTTTATCATTTATATAAATGATAAAAGCTTAACGTTGATTAATAACCAAATGCTTTGATAAAAATATATGGCCAACATCATATATTTATCGTTTTATGGTAAACGTTTAATCGATTAAACACGTCAGGCTTAATCACAAATTTGCAAAGGTAGGTAGAATATTTTGTTTTGTTTTTTAAACGTATGTTTGTATTACTGTATTACATGGTTCTTTCGAGTTTACCTGGTTCTGTAATTCCCTCAAATAGTGTCGCTGCGACCCGTCGGTAGAGATGAAAACGATTATTACAACGGTAGAAAGAAAAAAAAAAACATTATACCTAGCGAGATCCGACAGTGGCTTAACGGGACCGTAACCGAAAGTCCTCATGCCTAGTTGGTTTTTCGTGACGTGTGAGTACTTATTCAAAACCCTTTTGGATCGACTAATTTACAATCAGTTACACTGTATATAATCCGTCGCACTAAAAATGTGGATTACACGTTCCATAACACGCTTACCACCGAATATAAATACAATTTTTATCGACGCACAGTTAGGCCGAATGACACAGAATGCTAGCAAAAATAACACTTATCGAATTGAACTTATCTTATCATTTTATAAAATCGATAGAGTTCACACTGAATTTGAAATGAACGAGGCGTTGTCTGATTTCTCGATAAATTACAGTCCGTAGTTACAATAGCATTACAACAGCATGTAACACAAGTCTACCGCATATCGTAGTATAACGAGTTAAAGAGGTATAACTTTTTTAATTCTGAATTATGAGTTTTAACTTCGCGATTTGAACGTTTACCGACTTTGAATTACGATGGATCCATTAAAAATAGGCCAGTTAATATATGATATATATAGACGGTGTTTTGTTAAAAGAAAGTCTATAAAATTTCATTTTTTTTCAGGAAGCAAAAAAAAAAACTGTTTTACAAAAAAACAACAAAACAGTTTTTATAGTTGTTTATCTTGGAAAACAATAAAATTAATCGTCCTCATTATACTTTGTACACAAAGTATACATGCATTGAATGTGGTTTACGGCCTTTTAACAAATCAGTGTTAATTTAATTATATTTTAAAAGGGTGCCTGGATATCTTTTAATCGACATTACCAACTTAATTTTCTGTATTTAAATACGCCCTTTAACCGGTTTATGCTCCTAATTTTTCTGATTTTTTTTTTTTTGATACCAAAAACGTATTTTTCGATTTTAAATGGTATACGTCCTTTAAATAAAAAACCATCGATGTATATATATATTTTTTTTTAGTATTGAAGTTAAAATTAATAAATTAATACACTAATCCTAAGTTATCATTTTTCGTACTTTTATGATAATGATATACAATTTAAGTTCATTTCCGGGTTTTTGATTACTTGTACCTGCATTCCATGGACCTATGAATAATGTATCTATTTAACATTTGTAGGCTAATTATGGATAAAAATTGCAAGAGGGTGCGAGGGCACATCTTGCCTGCTCCAAATGGCGCCTTTGGATTGCGCAGTGGTAAAATCGATTTCGTGTAACATCTTTTTAGTACTTGTTTTGCGGAATTTTCATAAGTAATATTAAACGAAATAGTTTTCGATATTATGCAGAACTTTACCGAACGCTCAAAACAATATATTCGGGGTCTCGCGAATAATTATTATTAATTCAAAAATTCATTTTTACGATAACAATAAAGTATACCGAGTTATTTAATAATAATCATTTTGTCGTGTTGGGAGTAGGAGTAGGGGTGATAATATATTAACATGTTAATATATTCGAGCAACTTTCGAGTATATTAATAAAATACGAACACGTTGGTACCTACATAATAAAATATAGACCTACGAATATTAGGTTTGTTTCATTAATATCCACTGCAGTATAATAATTTATTAGAGTATCTCGTTAATATTTTAAATCCAATTTTAATCAATTATTTAATCCCAGGAGTTAAAAATACGCCGTAGTTATTCCTATACAATGTTATACATGTTATTTACCAAAAACCAAATGTGCTGTTTTAGTTAGTGACATAATACATAACCGAACTATTTGACGGACTGAAAACTATTTAAATAGTTTATAATCGGTTTTAGAAAAATCTATTCCGATGAAATATTTGATGGTTGATTTGAACATTGAATTATTGAAAACTATTTGAAAGTGTCCATCGCTATTTTTAATACTTTACAATAATCTGCATGCATAAATAGAGAAATATTGACGGAATAATTACTTAATGATTCACTATTCACTGATCTATATCAACTCTCAATCTAAACCACTGGGGTTAGACATCCTAAAATATTGACATTAGGTGCCTTTTATACTGTAAATGTCCACTAAGAAATAGGTGTTTTTTTTTAAATTCTACCTCGAGGGAGGGTAAAATAGGAATACAAAGTTTTATGCAGAATTTACAAAATAAGTGTATCTGGATTTTTGAACATTTCACTTCAAAAGTATTAAATATGGGAGTCACAAAGTTTATATACACATATAGTATCAGCGCACTGTAGAAATCGCTGGGTCTTGAATCTTGAAAAGTATTCCTTGTACAAGTATAATGTAGAAGACCTCTAAGGAATGCTAGGTCGAAATGTTTGACGGCGGGAGGCTCACATTAGAACTAATTCAAACCAAAACATACTTTATACACACTATACTCTATACTAAACTTGATCGACATTTAAAATATACACAAGTGAAGCCGGGTAATATACAAGGTGATCCGTTGAAGTGGATGCACTCATTATCTTGGAAAGTATTAACTTTTTCGTAATTTGTTTTGTAAAAAATTTAAGAAAAACAGGAAGCAGCTCTAAAATTTTACATTTATGTTATTTTTCGTTACTCATATTTTTATGGATAAAACCATTACCTACTTTTGATTAACGCTGACATTTTTGATTTCCGTCAATCCGTTGACGAGATGTTCCACTTTTAAGTTTGGATCGTGAGAGGGGGGTTAGATAAGAGTAGTAGTGCATTATTTAAACGGCACGGGTGGCACCGCAATACAAATAATGCACCACTATTCTCCCCCAGCCCAAATTTAAATGTAGAATATTTCGTCAACGAATTGACGAAAATTAAAAATATGAATATTAACATTTATTTTAACTAATACTTCATCTATTTATATCATTTTTGATATAAGTTGCCATTTGAAAATCAAAATTAAGTAGGTAGTGGTTTTACCGTCCAAAATAAGGGTAACGAAAAAAAACATTAATGTAAAATTGTAGAGCTGCTTGTTCTTTTAAATGTTCTATAAAATAAATTCTTGCAAAAAGCCTTCGTTAAATTTCGTCAGCAACATATATTCTATTTTTTTAAAAGTCCGTACCTAAAAGTTTTAATTTTTAATTTAGGAGGGATTACATCCGAATAAGTGAGTAATTTTAAAAAAATTTCTCGTAAAATATTATTTATTTAATATTTCGTGTTAATTATATGTTATTCATATTTATATGTTAATCTACTAGGACAAAGAAATCAGCATAAATTTGAATTGGAACAAAACAGATCCGATGCCCAGGTACGAAGACCCAACAAATACTCACGGTACCAGATGCGCTGGTGAAATCGCAATGGCCGCAAATAATACAAAGTGCGGTGTCGGCGTCGCTTACAACGCGAAAGTTGGAGGTTAGTAAAATTTGATTTTAATTTAAACTTTTAGTATGAAATTTCGATATTGTTTTTAGATAAAGAAATACGTTTTTAATAGATTTACAAACGACAAATCCATATTTAAGTTTTTAATTATCGCAAGAAAATCAATATTTATTTTTGGTATATCTATATATATATATATATTCTACAGATAAAAAAAAAAAACAACGACTGTATTTAGATAAATTTTTTTTTTAAAACCACAGTAAGGAATTAATTACTTAATATTAAATTGTTTGTGACTTATAACATCCTTCAGAGGACCATTTCGAAAATTACATTTTCTAAACTTTCAATAGATATTCATTAGTTTTTTCCGACAAAAAGTCGTGTGCGTGAACTGAATTATTTATTATTACATAGGTTTACTGATAAAATAAAATGTTAAAATTTAAACATAGAAACCTTCAACGAATGCAATGAAAAATGCACGAGCGTCTGACAGGTAGGAATGAGGTTGAAAGGTTGAAAAAGTGTGAAGTGGATTAAGGGTATGAACAAGGATGAATGGGGTGACAGTAGTCATATAATGGGTGTGGAGGTGAATATAGCTATGGTGCTTCACGTGATATTGTTAAGACATAAGATGCGCATGTGTAAGCGATTAAAGAAAATGCGTGGTGAAAACAGGGAAAGTTTACCTAAATAGATCTTTGCTTTTACATTCATTAAGTCGTCAACTGCCAGAGTGAACACATTAATATTATTCGATTAAGTCAATAAAGCGAAGCAAATGGGATTGTAGATAAGTTCTGATAAATTATCATTAACTAATGTCAATATCTGTTATCCCTTATCAGTTGTATTTTACTTATACTTCTTAAAATGTATCTTATTTTTTAGTAATATCTTTTATACAATACAGTGTGAAAACGCAGGTTGAAAACACTCAATTTCCTTGCATAGGGCCACGCAGTTTGAATTTGAATTTTTTAGTTGACAGTTGCTATACTTAGTAAGTGCTTCATGTTTTTACTCGTTCGGAATCTTATGGAAATATTGGAAATATGGGAATAACCGCAGATCTTATCAATTATTTACTTTATATCTCCTATCAATATTCTTATCTGTGATTTTTATACATCTTCCTTATATCTAAGATAAGACTTATCAATATTTTGTGTCATATCATATCATCGTGTGCGGCAATTTAACCTTTCCAGCAAAATTCTCATTTACATTAAAATACTATGCTATATATGTAGTTTGCAACTCAATCGGCACAATTTTCGTTTTAGATCAGAATATTGGAGTGAATAATATTATATTGTATGTATAAGTTATTTTTAGTTTTGCAGAGTGATACTTGGAAATTTAGATTTTTGATAAGATATATTTTGATCGATAATCGAATGTATAATTGTATTTTCCCAAAACGTTAATAATATTAATTAATTATATCGTATACGATTTAAAAATACGGATTTCGTAAACCTTAAGAGTCCACGTTTCGGTTTTATACATAGTTTCCATCCCATGGCTTGTATAAATTACCATCACTAATTCCATTAACTGTACCTACACGAATTTCTCAAGATAAAACATTAGTTCATATAATTCATGTTGACCAATTATTAATACCAAGAGAAATATTGAGGGAACAACACTGTTAGTTTCATATTTGTTGTACTTACATAGGCATTGTATTGCTGGACGGAGAGACAAACGACGAGATGGAAGCCGCCGCGTTGTTGAACGCTCTTATGTTGGTGGACATTTACAGCGGATCGTGGGGACCCAAAGATGACGGACTTTCGGTCGACGGACCCGGAGTTATAGCGCAGATGGCGTTTGAAATTGGTGCGACAAAGGTAAAATTATTATGATTTTAGTCTGTACTTGTTTCAAACCACGAACGTTTTTTGACATACAAACCTCGTAAACGACTCATTAATCGACATTAAGAGTGGTTTCTGGTAGATAATTTCATCTAGTTGGTGTATTGAGGAGGTCTTTTATTGATTTTCATTGATGGTTTTTTAACGCGGGGAAATACCGGAAATTTTTTTTATTGTTGTATCTAATTTGGTGAAAATAATTTTAGAAACTTAAAACTTTCACAGAATATTCCTATCAGCAGACGTTTTATTGTCGTAGAGTTACAATTTTCATAATATTACTACTTATTTGATTTATTTGAAAATTTAAACTTTTCGAAAATTTGAATTGGTTTCATATATCAATATATATATAAATATATTGGTCTTGCGAATAAATAATTTATTTTTATTTTTTTAAATTCAAATGTATAAAATCACGAATAATTCAATAATTTATTTTGTAGTTGTAAGTTAATACAATTTTAAATTTAGATTCAACTTTACATCAAAACGTGCATTTGACCGCTCTTTGTTTTAAATCGTTTTTTATTTGCAATGTAGTTGTGCACAGATATTACACTTTATATATTATCCTTCAAAACTTCCCACTTACAACAGTTCAACGCTTACTGTGCGAAATATGTCAGGCTTCAATTAATTGCCGTTAAGAGAGTTTAATATGTAATCCTGTGTATTAAACACAACATGTCCGGAATTTGATAAAAAAAAAAATATATTTCGGTTCATTATTTGGATAGTTGATTTCAAAGAGTGAAATTATTCCAAAATCTATCAAATTGTGAACTTACAAAACGATAAAAATAAGCGAATGTTCAATGAAAAAAGACACGAGCTAAAATTCATTAGGTAACGAAAAACGACGACTTTATTTAGCAATTTATAATATATCCGATCATTGTATAAAATCTAAATTTGTATGATAATTTTATGTACACTCGCTTTACATAATATACTACACAAAAACAAGAAACCGACATTTTGTCGTTTCATAATGATTACTTTAGAATAGGTACGGTTTTTACTACTTTTTATATAAGTGACTTTTATTAATTTATGGCGTAAAATTCAGCCGATCGAAGTTCGAAATTAATCAGAATTGTTTTTTTTTTTTTTTTGTAAACGATTAAGTAAATTTCTAGATATCTATTGCATGCACTTAAACGTGAGTCAATACGAATCCGACCTCGGTGAATTATTAATCACTACCATTATTATTTTTAATTAATATTTCAGCGTATATCATAAGTATTAGATCAAATTGTACATGCTGGATTAAGAGAGAATTGAAGGATTTAATGACTTTACTATGATGTATGTTTTTATAAAAACATTTTTTTCTGTTTGTAAACAACTTTTCAGACAGAAAATTTGCTCTGATATATCAAGTGTCACATATTTTCTGAAAAATAAAAAAATGTTATCTAGTTAGTGTAAAGAGATCATCTTTTGGTTCTTCAAGCTGTTTTCAAAAATTATCGGGAAAAAACAGGAAAGAAAATTATAAATGATATCATGTAAAAATTAACTTCCCTTAGAATTGTTTTTCGTTAACTATGGTTTATCATTGCTCTTTTAGATTCTGAGTGTAGTGAGGAATGTATTGGTTTTACAAAGATGTTTATTTTTTTTATCCTGTGTACGAAAATTCGACCATAAACCTTGCTCAGATATATACGCGCGGTACCATTTCTGAAAGGGAATGTTGTCCAGATGGTACTTTTGGGAAGTTATATTTCGATTTTCCAAGTGGTTTTCATAATATTTGGGAAAATCCAGGATAAAACGTAAGAAAAACGGGAAATTTAAGAAATTAATGATTTTATTATTTTATCAATCGTGTTATTTGTTATTTGTTATTCAGTTAAAAATATTCGTAGAGACTTGAAATTGAAAGCAGATATTAGGGATCGCAAGTTCAAACTTTCGGGGTTTGATAGGAAATGTTTGCACATTTTTTTTCCTTTCATCTAAATAGGGAAAAAGAAAAGCATTTTAAGTGTATTTAGAGACCTACCTATCACTCGCTTGGACGATTTTAATCGAAAACTACCCCTCGATTTGTTGTGTAAACTTTTCTACCAGAAATCTTGCTCCCATACATCAAGTGCAGCTTATTTTCTTAAAGGAAATAGTTTCTCCATGGTTTAGGGAGGTCATTTTTCGATTTTTCCAAGAGTTTTCTAAGCAAATGTAAAAATCCGAAAAAAACATGGAAAAAACCCAGGAAAAACCAAAAAATCTATAAAATATTAAACAAATATTATTAAAGAAAATATATAATGCTTATTTAATTATTTTACCATAATATGACGTATATATTGTTGACAAATCACTATTAACTGAACAGCGCTCAGAATCGTTTTTTCGTTAACAATGGTTTATTGTTGCTTACAGATGTACATTAAATTACCTATAACAGTGGTTGCACCCGTCTACATTAACTTAGGACATCTTTTTTTTGTTTACACCTAATTTTATGATAGCGAATTCCCCGTTTGTTATTTATTTATTCGTTTTAATTATTTACGTATACCTATGGTACTTACAATGCGTATAGCGTGTATTTTTGTGTATAAGTTTAGAAATTCGGAACGGATATAAAATGTTTCTTATTATATTTCTCTCTCCGTCGCCGGTCAAATAATGAAGACATGTAACTTGAGCGTGCTATTTATAATACCTGTTACGCCGCGTAAATTTAAGTCATTTGAACGAAAGAATGAAAAAAACATAAGGTTACTGTAAAACATATAAATAACATATTCAATTTAGCTATTTGGGACAAACAAATATTCTTTCTATGGTGGACAGTGATTATAGAATAGATATTTATATTATTTTGTCAATATAAATTAAAATTAAAATTTTGTTTTAGCTACGCAATGAAAAAGTTTTTAATAATAGATTTATTTTGAATAGTATATTAGTAACGATTAATTGTATTCGGTTTTGTGGCACTTTTTTGTTGACATTAAGAGGTCATGTTGAAAATTAAACATCTCTCAACCCAGGTATTTTTTGATGTTGGTGTTAACAACAGAGTTACAGCAAAAAAACTCACAAAAATTTAAATTCTTTAAAAGCTCAAAAGTAGCTCTAAAGTTTTGGTAACAATTCCGTAAGAAAGTAATTCAAAAAGGCAATAAAAAAGGTATCGTGTGATTTTTCGATTAAATCATTTTTCGGGTAGAAAAAGTTGTCCGTGTTTTTATAAAATAATGCAATCGTGAAGTTGTATGTTTTTCTACGTTTTTTCCACATAAATGCTTTTATTTTAAAAATGGCGTTGAAAATCTATAAATGACCTGTTTAATCTAGACAATTTGAACTTTTAGAAAAGTTACTAAAATATCGAATTTACTGGGAAAAAACGTGTCCCCTTCTTTTGAGTGTATTTTAATAATTAAAAACAAATATTATTAGGTCGGATTACTCAGGTTTTATAGAGTATTTGAATTGATATTTGTACATGTTAATGTATTTAATACTATAGGTGAACTTTATGATTGGGTATGCTAAATCTATAAATAATATACACGAACCCAAAGCTGTAATCAAGCCTTCGCCAATAAGTTTATACATAATCTTACTTACAAATCCTCTGTCTAAAGCCTTTGAACTACTTAAAATAATCTGGAACAAATCAATATTGAAATTTAATTTAGTATGTGTATTAAATATTAACGTGTGTGTTTTGTAATATTAAAAAAGATTAAAGATATACATTAAATTTTCTTCTATATCCTACTTTTCCAATTTTCCATCTACAACAAAGGCTGTTCCCGTCCCTATTATCCAAAGACAGCTTTTTATTTCTTTTTAGAAACAATTTTTCTCCTAGAAATGTTGCAATAATCAAAACATGACAAGCGATCTTTTTTAACGAATTTGCCTCTTGTTGGTACTTTAGACTGATAATTTTTCAAAATTCTTGTAAATATTTGAGGTGTTGAGTAATGACTATATCTCAAGGGTAAAAAATATATTTTTTTTTATCATGAAATTTTTATTATTTTATCGTTTTATCTTTTTTAAACAATCGTTATTGTTGTCGTAAAAATACTCATTATTTAAAGAGATGGATCATTGAATTGTATTTTTAATGTACACGTGAACTGAATTTTCATAAGTAACAAGTCCTTTATAAAAATCGTACAAAATATGATTTTTTAACAACAGATATCACTTACATATTTTAAAGTATACATATTTTAGGTTTATTTTGAATTAAAAACTAAAATATGACTTGGATGTGATGCGAACACATTGTTCTGGGTTATCGAGTTCTTTATAATAGTGATGATTTATGAATGAAAATTCTAAAGATAATTTTATAATTTAATGTTTTATTAGATGCTTTAATATATTTGTGGGAAAATATGTGGATTGTTTTATTTTTAATGTGTGAAAACTCTTTACAAGTTTTGTGGCCGGCATATAATATCAAATTAAATTTGAATTTTAAATTCTGAGTGGAGTAAAAAACCTTATGGTTTTACAAATATGTTATTTGTTTTTTTTTTCATCTGTGCGCAACTTTTGCGACTTGTTTGGATTTCTACGTGTAGCACCTTTTCTGAAAGAAAATCGGCGTGGGGAGATACTTTACTACAGCAATTTTGCCTCAACTTAAAATGATAGCAATGCTTCTAAAAGGGTATTTACTAGGGAGGTACTTTAAAGATGTCATTTTTCGATTTTCTCTGTAGTTTTCTCATCAAATATAAAAAATCGAATAAAAAACCTGCGGAAAAACGAGAAAATATAAATCACCTTACCGGTCTCTCTGTGCTTAATATTCACCAAAATATATCCATACATTTTGCGGACATTATTTCAAGATATGGATAAAACAAAACAAAGGAGATTAAACTTTGTTTTTTAATATTAAAATTATTAAATATTTTTTTTAATTTTACGTGCAGTGATAACATTGCTCTCTTCAAAGTTATTTTGTATACTTTTCTCGTACACTTTTCTTGATCACGTTTGCTTTGTTTCGTCCTTTACCGTGTCTTTTTCATCTGTACATGTTTGCCTGCTCTTATACTCTGCGACTTTGAAGTTTCGTGCCGTTTCGAAATCCGTTCAGTTTTTCTTTTTGTTCGTTTTTTTCTATTTCTGATAACAAGTATATACAGGGTAGGATTTTTTAAAGTATACTCGCTTTGCTTTTTTTGTTGTTGAGTTATTTCTAAAATAAAACTCTGATTTTGGGAATTCTTGAGTGCAGTGAAGACAAGGTTTTTAAATATTTTGATTATTCACAACATTTTAGGAGGATACTGTGGTAATTCCAACTTTTGTTTTTTAAATGATACATGTTTCAATGCAAACTACTGTCAATCAAATGATTTTGCTGAAATTGTTGACGTATTGTAATCGAAATTTTAACGAAAAGTTTCTCCTACTTTAAATACTACTGGATAATAACGCAAAACCGAACCTCGATAACCACACAATTTAAAACAAGAAATTGCTTACTCTTATGAAACAGTCTGTTTTCAATCTCCCAAAAGCCTTTTAATTTAGTATTTAAAGCAGAAAAACGCGGACAATTTTTATTTAAATTTCAATAATTACAATATGTCAACATTTTCAGAAAAATTATTTGATTGACAATTTGTGTTAAAACAATATATGGGTTCTCATATGAAAAACCAAAGTTGTTATCAACACGTGATACTTCTTAAATGTCGTGAACAATCTAAATACGCGAAGTTATCGTATTTTAGTGCACTTAAAAGTTCCAAAAATCAGAATTTAAACCTATGGATAATTTAAAATGGGGTGAACACGATAAAAAAAAATCATTCTGTATGCATAATATTATACACCGTCTTCAAACGCCATAATCCACGGCTGAAATACCAACGTTATCGCGTGTCAACAACAACACAACTTTGGAATACGATTTAACTATACATACACGTAGGTAAATAAATTCATACGACCCCTGAGATCGGCTATACGGATTTTAGATTTTGTCCGGTGTGTATACTTAGAACGGTTTTATGCCCACGGCGGACAAGGTCGGTAATTCCGATTAGGTACGCGCGAGTGATGAAACAAACATCGATAATATTACCATGCAAGTATAGCTGTTTGTAGTTTATACTTTGAAAACGGTTAAATAACGCGCCTGATATTATAAACTTCGGGGAGAATTCGTTAACAGGATTCCGAAATTATATAAGACATTTGCCGTTAAAGTTTAATGGTGTCAGACGCATAGACACGACCCTGTACTATCCCTCGAGTGAAATTATTTTTGTTCGTTACATTTTGCATTTAACTTTTACGATTTTTCGTAGTGCTACGTGCTATGGGAGGCGATTTAATTTTTCACACTTTCTCGTCTTAATTTAGTCCATCATGTTTTGTAGAATATAATATAATAATTGGCTATAATACGTATTTCTTCAATGAACGGTTATTTTAAGGCGAATGTGAAACCTAAAGGATTTAGTGTGATCGGACGAGGCGGAAATAGGTATCGGAGATACCTACTGCACGTAACAAAAGGGTTCCAATCATTATTATTTAGCTGAAAAAAAAGTTGCATAAAACTGCGACGATACCGGTAAAGTGTATGTTGTGCAGTAGACAATAATATGGAACAAAATACTGTTAGTGTAGTAGAGATAAAAACAATATATGTGGATGGGTCACTAGAGAAGATAATAGCAATGAATGAGTTTATAATAAAGGTTTATAGTTTCGGCATTGTTACATGTTTCGGTGGTTGATCGGCCGAGAAAGAATAAACTTAGGTGGTTGGGCCATGTGTAGAGTCGAGTCGAGGCTTCCAAGGGCGATTTTATGAATGAATGTGACCGGAAATGGGTAAACCGATAAACAGATGGATATATATATAACCGTAGATACGATTGATAAGAGTGATATGCGGAGTGCTGAAATTTGATGTGTAAACGATGTGAGAGACAGCGTCAAGTGGACAGTTAGCTAGGTTATTCTATAGGTATTCAAAACAGCTTTCGCGGTCCATTTTTCGTTCCACACTTGCGCATACTTACTTACTTAATGGGGCTTACAGTTTATACAAAATTAACATTAAATGTTGTTTTTCCAGGGCCGGAACGGTAGAGGTGCGATATACGTGTTCGCGTCTGGCAACGGACGCATTCAATTAGACAACTGCGCCGCGGACGGGTACGTCGGCAACATACACACGGTGGCCATAAGCAGCGCTACGATCGACGGCAAGGCTCCCGCGTACGCCGAGAGATGCGCCGCCGTCATAGCGACAGCTTACTCCGGCGGCATCGACAGCGGTATCAAAATCGTAAGTGATAACAAGTTAATAAAATATCGTTGTTGTTATTAATATTGTCATCGTGGGTTCCTTGAACGCCGGTCGAAAATATTGTTTATCGCTAATTTAGGTGTAGAAATTATTGAACAGATCAGTGACGTAGCCAGGATTTTCCAATGGGAAGTGAGGGGGTGGGGTATAATTAGGTCTATACAACAGGTATACATAAAACAAATTCTTCATTTTGTTATATTTTATTTAAAACGTTTTTAAAGGTCAAAATTTGTAATTTTTATTTTTCGTACGAAATACCGCCCGGTTTATAATGATACTGGTAAATGGTATAGGTACTGAAGCGTTCGCGAACGGAATCGACCTCTGTTTACGATGGTGGAAATTATTTTTATTTCGGGGATTCGATGACCTGCAGAGTGCTCGAAATAAACGTATATATGAATAACTGCTTTAGGAGACCCGCTGAAGTGCGCAGTTTATGACGCGAATACACTATATATTATAACATAATATACGGTTTTGAAAAATTCTCGAAAACTTAAAATATCCGCAGAACTCTGTATTAAATCCGCGTTATTCTGTGCGAACGGCACAATAAAGCAGTTCTGAAAGTTGATCAACGACAATCGTTTTTGGCCGTGATTACCGTCGTTGAATCGTATGACGATAAAATCTGGTGTACATTTACTCGAATGAAATTCTTCGCTCAGGTACTGGACGAGAATGACAATACAGAGTGTTACACAAAGACAATATACGTATTGTGATATTTAGGAAAGTATACATATATATTATTTTTTAAAAATTTATTTAAGAAGCAAGCAGCGAAAAGTGTTACATTTCCATTATTTTCGGGGATGGAACAATAACTCATTTTTGATTTTAAAATCAATTATAGCAACTTGTATTAAAGTGTTTACAAACAGATGGAGTATATTAAGTGTAAAAACCATTTCGGCGAGGGGAAGAATAATGGAGCATCATTGCGTTTTCTCTACGATAAATTAAAAATGCAATATCTCGTCGAGGGATAGACGGAAACAAAAAAAAATGTCAACACTAAAATTTATTGAAACTATAAAATATACCAAATTTATTTATGTAGTTTTTAACATAGGTTGCCGTTTGAAAAACAAAAAACAAGAGTGACAAATATAACGGTTATATACCTAAACATTTTAGAAATGCTTATTATCTCTTAAATTCTCAAAAACAATAAAAAAAAAAAAAAAAAGGGTGTATCTTCGCGGGACACCTTTACGCGATATTTCGATCGGGTACACACTAGATAAAGATATGATGTATGAACTCGAACATAATTCTTTAGTTTCAAATCGGTTTTAGGCAAAAATCGAATGGTATACAAATACTACAAATGAAGCTAACTGAAACGTATTCAATATTTTTATGGAAGAAACATTATAAATACTATAAAAAGTATGATTGATTTTTGCGGGTTTATTTCGATGACGGATTATATTATAATAACGCACCTATTATTATTATACCATCGAGCTGCGTCGTTTTGATAGATCGGGCGCGTACGCACGGCCGATTCATTATTATTATTATCATCATTCATAAAAAATATGTGCTATAATAGGCGGATATATATGGCGTTTAATTAATTTTCAGTGGCGGTAAAAACCGCGATGGAACACAGTGGTACGAAATACATATTATAGATGGACAGAACTATACCTGCTTTGAAAAAAAATTAAGTTAAAAACTGCAAATCATTATTATTGAACATCGATAACTATAATACATTGAGATGGTTCATGTACTGCAGATAAAACCCTAATTTTAGTTGTCAAAACAGTTATAGAACAAATTTAAACGAAAAATTAGTTTTAAAAAAAACCTCTTCTATATAGTTGGACAACAAATGAATAAAAAATAGCATTAAAGTTCGAAAAGTTCGGAAAACTATTATCCCAGTAAGAAAAACTCCTGCATCTCAGGAAGTTCGAAAACATAAACGTTGAGATTTTCGGCCCAAATCACACGTGCGAGGAAACGAGAAATTCTATCGGATGAATCTCAAAAAAACGACGTCTTAATTAATTTTCGAGTCGAGTATACGTATCTATATAAAAAAAAAACGACTCCGATGAAAATATTTAATTTAAACAGGGAAAAAAAATACGAGCGGATGAGGTTGACTGCGTAACAAGAAAGTTCCGTCTGCACTGATTATACGCGAGAAACGCGTCGTCGTAAAATAATAATAAAAAAAAAAAAAACTAATAATAGGTAATTCGCGAACTTTTCACGTCTTTTAATTTACTACAGGATTTGACGGGATGAGAACGCACAGTGAGTCAGAATTTAATAATAGTTGGCCTTCCCAAAAACGATGTCATTATTAATTATTGATTTCTATTTATTATTTGATTCTTAACCTATCATAAGTTTTAATATAATAAGTATATATTACGATATCAGAGTGCTGATTATTTATTATTTATTTATGGAATTTATGATTATCATAGTTGAATTTATTCTCATTTCACTCTTCAATTTGATGTCAGTCTTTTGTAACGTGTTTAGCTACTAAAAGTTAAATTTAAACCGTATACAATTTGTATTCCCTTCCATGTAGATTCGTCGGAAACGTTGACACGTAAGTTTTATTGTTTAGAAAAATTTAATGAATATTTCTTATTTTATAATTAAACTATTCAAATCTACATTATCGAATTTTATACCAATACCCTTTATTTGATAGAAATATATATTTTTAGTCTGAATACCTCTGTCATTAAAATTAAATTAATTTATTTTAAATTCAATAATTAAAAAAAATTGTGAAAATCGTTAAAAATCCCTTATAAAGTTGTAGTGTGCGTTTTGTAGGTATATTATAATTATTAAACTTGTGATCATTTTGAATTTATACAAACAATTGAAGGTAACGTCCGTATTACCTATACGGTATGCGACAGTTTTTAAAGTTATGTTATCTGGTTATCAAAGAAATCGAAAAGCATTCAGTGAATACGAGAATATACAAGTTTTTATCTTATACTTAACATATCTTTTGCAATGATAATAACTATGAAAATTCCTAATCGGAATATCATATTGCATGCATGCATACATCTAAACTAATACTGAAAGGATATTTTTAACCACATTCAGTCTTATACTTATTTTGAAAACATTGTTATTTGATAAATACAATAATCGTAATTGAAACTGACACTTTGAAGTTTATAAAAAAATTAATTTGTAAGCACTTCTTTGGCATTATAATCTTAATCAAAATAATTATTTATAATAACCATTCTAATATCAAAATCAGTATTACGTATTACAAATCGCTTTTAGTTTTAACTTATGTGGAATTAAAACATAATTAAAAATTAAATTATTCCATTAGATAATATATAGTTTTGGCTAAGAATGTGAATTATCTGGCCCACTATGGAAAGGGTTAGAAATTGGGAAATTGGGCCACCGTCGTTTTTTTTTTTATCTAACGATGAGTATTTCGAATTTTTAAGTCAATATACTTTGTCTCATTTTTTATTTCTTATCGGTGGCTACACTATTTTATAATATCCCGGTTCGTACACAATATCAAATATTTTCCCAGACTTCTAAAATCCATTTTAAATTAAAAATAATAACAGAACCAGACAATATTATTACGTGTCATTATGTTAAAATTCATTAAAAAAAACCGAAAAATTAGGTACACAGCTTATAACAGCTTATTAAAATTAAATTCGATTTATATTTATTGAAACGTAATAACGTCGTTCAGAATCATTTTACTTTTGCAATGATTGCGTATACGTCTACATTTCTATAAACGAAGTCGAAGATAACACATTTAAAGGCAGACACAAATTTACTGCTTTAAGAAATTTTGACATTCAATTCGAAAACTAATAATAGAGGACCAAGGATATGACTCGTACGTACAAATAATGGGGGGAAAAAAAAAGCAAACAATAGAGAAGAGTGGAAGAAGATTGCAAATAAATATACTGATTGAAACTATAGAGAGAAAAAGAATGTTGTTGAAAAAAAAAACGAAAAGCGAGCATAATGTTTGTAAAAATGATATTAGCTTCCGTATTGACCGTTTATCGATTCGTTTACCATTGTAATATAGGTTAAAATCGAACACATTGTTGTTGATTTTCAAACAAACCTTTCATTATGTTAAAATGTACTCTTATGACGGGAAACTGCAGCGGTTGCTTATTGAAATTCTTAAAGCCACGGTGAACAAATAGAAAGTTTATATTGGGGAAATTGACAGTGTTTTAGTTTATACTCTTTAGTGAGGGGTGTCAGTAAGTTAAATCGTGAAGTTTTGGGCATTTAACTTAAGCGTTTTAGTAATAGAGCTTTATGTCTATAAACGAAAATTAATCGAAACGTTGCTACGGTATTTTTAATAATAAACTAGACGGATTTTTTTCGATCTTTTGACTTCGTGGGATAAATTATTTTTTGAGTATAGAAATAAGACTTGAAGTGTTTGAACGATCAGTCGACTCTGAAACTATCCGATAGTTGCGTTAATATTACGTCACAATGTTGAACCAAGGAACTTAATAGTTCCAACGACCGAACACGATAAAAGAGTGATGTAGCTAATGTGGGTAAGACAAGTTCAGAGAAAAGTGGGCTATGGATCAAAATGGGGAATTTAGGGAAGATTCGATTGGAAAATTCGTAAAATATGAGCAATTTCAGGTTTTGCGTACACACTAAAACCGAACCAGCTGGACTGACCGAAAAATATTCGGATCGAATTTTCAAAGTGAAATTTCTTTACGGAGTGTGATCGAAAAACATGCTTCCATTCTACGCCGTACCAGCCGATCGGTCGTATGTTCTAATCTCAAAATCATTAATTAATTTTTTCCTTTTTTTCCAAAACTTTTTACACAACGATATACTTACTAAACTACGAATAGCAACACCATATTCAACATCTATCAATCCCCCCATGCCCTACAATCTTAACAACTACTAATCCATATATCTTTCTACATATTCCACCATACTTCTACTCCCCTCCAACTCCAATCTACCCATATAGCTCCATCTACCCTATTCCAAAAAAAGATGAGCGTGCAGAACCCGACTGCCGGCGAAAATTTCGACGAGGCCAATCGTCGTGACGAAATCGAATCATTTAGCGAACCGCATTCAACACTACAACAGCGAAAAGTATTTAAACATGGAATAAATTCTCAAAAAATAGAACTTATTGAAATCGTTTTTCGGTTTTACGAGCCATTCGTGAGCATAATATCTAATACCATAAGACATTATAAAGCTACGCAATATGTATAATGTATATGTTTGATAAGGAATAACTTCTAGGGGATTTTACGGGATTAACAATAAAATTGGTGTTTGAACTAATTCAATTGAACTAGTTCAATTGAATTATCATAACAATTCAGGATAGTAGTGCCCTGAAACTCTCAAGCAGAGTACTTTAGACAACATTGAAACAGTATGTACTATTATTATGTATAAATGTATAATATATAGGAATAATGTTACAATATTATTAAGTTACGATATCGATAATTAAACAACTTTGTTCGACTATACGACATAACGTAATTATCAATAAGTTGACGTTAATTTGTATCTGTTCGCGTATTTTTTCTCTCGAAAACTCCATAAAGCTAATAATCTTCTAATAATAGAATATTACTTATATACCGATACGAAAAAAAATAAATAAAAATATGACCATTGAAAATCTGTTAAAAAAAACGTATACTCTCGATGAGCTTATATCAGCAACAACATATACTCCAGTGTGTTTGCCAACGCGTAAATAATAATAATAAAAAGAAAAATCACTTCAAGACACGTTTAAAAAAATAACAATATCGTTTCCGTAGATTTTATTTTTTCTAACATGTGTTTTCGGATTTTATATGAGACCATTGGCACTCGATTTCCGACGTGAAAACACTAAGATAACAATATTATTTATTAATGAGAGCCGCAGTCCGTCTGTAACGTTTTGTTCATTTGCCATGGCAACCAAATATAAAATCAACTATAACCCTTCAATCGGTATGTATGACGGAAATGCAACTAGTAATAATACAATACCCTTGTTAAACCAGGTTAACTATGTTAAGGGGAATAGTGGGGTGATTTGCTCTAGGGGGCTTCAAAGCATTTTAAAACTACGGGGTGTGTTGTTTTATTTTCGAATGCTTTGCTTAAAGTAATAATGTGCATTGTTTGGTATAGTTAGAAGAACGTATAGGTCTTCTCCTTTACCTTTATCTCAACTAATTAGGGTCGATCATCCTAGTTCAAAATTTTCACTTCACTCTATATCCCACTTCATATACACCCGATGTCTTCATATCATTCTCATTTGCTTTTTAGAACTTCTATTTCTGGTCTTTCTTAGCTCTTTCCTCCTGCGTTTATTTCCATAGAAATGCATTCTGCTTTAAATTTCTCTCTCTCCGTGACAAGCCCAAACCATTTCAGTTTGTTTTCTCTCATTTTGTTTACTATCCAAGACACGCCTAAGTTATCTCTTAAATACTCATCCCTTATCCTATCTTCTCTCAACACTTCACTTATCTACATGAGCATTCTCATCTCTGCTATACTAATTCTCTGTTATATTTTTCTGTCTACCATCCAACACTCCGAATCACAGAATATAATCTCATCATGCGTAAATACTTACTTACAAAATAATAACGTAGTATGTGTACCTAAAACAAATTTCAGGAGTAAGAAAAAATCTTATTTACGGAGATAAAATTTTGAAATTGTAATATGAATAATATATAAGAGTAACAAAAAAAAAAATGACAGATTTGGGGAGTTATCAGCTAAATTATCTCTTCAAAGGGAACATCAAAAAATTGATGACAATGAGTGTTAAATGGCTTAATACTACTCTAGTAATTATTATTACCAGTGATAGTATATATTTAGTAATATTTCAGATATACAGAATGATTTCATTTTTATTATCATGAAAATTTGAAAATTGTTTTGGATTTCTTTTACAGGTCACTTCGGATATTAACAACACGTGTACACTCAATCACAGTGGTACATCGGCTGCGGCTCCGTTAGCGGCGGGCGTAATAGCTTTAGCTCTGGAAGCCAAGTAAATTTTTATAATAATTATAATAATTTATATAATTTATATTAATCTTATTATTTCGTATATTAAATTTATCAACTTTTTGAAACATTTTTGAACAAACAAAATTATTTATAACAAAAATACAAACCATTTATGATAAATAAAATACATATTATATAATATATTTATATGAAAAAAGGGGGACAAAAATCGCTATCATATTGTATTTGTATTATTGTATTTATTCGTATGGAAAAAAACTATTTTTCAATGCGTATCTTATTGAAACGGAATCGTTTCCCCGTTGACAGTGTTTGAGTATACGTTTTAACATAATTAAACGAAAACCACTTTAAACCACGGTCCACGCAGACAAATAGAAATAATATATATACAACTCATTCCGATCGGTCATCTTTTTCTCTATCGCTAAAGAACTGAATAATTTAACGAATTTTAAGTACCTCTAGGTTTTAACAGTAAAACGATTCTGATTCAACAATTAGATTCTGAGTAGAGCGTGGAATGTATTGGTTTCAGAACGATATTCATTTTCTTTTTCTTTCAGTGGACCGCTTTTCTACGAGCAATTTTACTCCAATTTTCAAGTATAGCACTTTTTCTGAATGGAAATCTAATTTTAACCGGGGATAAACGTTGGAAAAACTGGAATATGTATTATTTATTAATTACAGCTTTTTAAAACATGTAAAAACGAATTCCGCTCAGAATTATTTTTCGTAAGCAAAGACTAATCGTTGCGTACAGATATATATTACATTTCCTTCTATATCCTACTTTCTCAACTTCTCACCTACCATCCATCGTGCGAAGTATGCTTGTGTAATTTTTTTTAAGTTTCCTTTGCCACTGTTGGAACTTTTATATTATTGAATTATTACATTTTAAATCTTCTTCGTAAAATTCAGCTAATTTTTCAAATTCTTCTTTTGTAAAATTTCGTCGAAAAGATAATGAAAACTTGATAAAATGCCAATATGATTAAGAAATTTAGATTTTGTTTGACTTAAGAAAGATTCCAAGTATAGAATAAAATCGATATGAGAAAATATTCTTTAGGATTATTAGTCGTTTATTCTATGCACTTGTTATTAATTCTCGGAGTACCCATTGTTACACTGAACTCTACGAAGTTTGCTGGTACATAATAAAAACAAATTCCTGTGTTCTTATTTAATATTGACAAAAATACAATAAACTCGTGTTCACTGGTTCATTCGTATAGCTCTTGAAGTCAAAATGAGACTAATAGAAAATATGTATTAACTGGGACTTTGGGAGGATATTTGATTTCACATGACATTACATAAAATGTAAAAGCCACTAATTTATATTTTTTGTTGAAGTTTATTTTATTTTGTTAGTGTATTGCTATACACTAAAATCTATCAATAATCAGTTTTTATGTGAGATAAAGTTATTACCACAAAGTTACCTTGCCTTTTTCGCACTTTATATTTAGTGACAACTCAGAATAACATTATTATAAATGTAAATCTTCAATTATAATTAATATTTAAATATGCTGCAGAAAAATGTGTCTGTTTTTTTTTTTTTTTTTTTTGACTCTGGGAGTTCAAGTATCCCAGACAACAGTGACCTATCCGTGACCAATATCAACTTTTTAATCATATCATTTTAATACTACATTATAGTATTATTTATTTGTGAAATAATATTATTACTCTTCATATTTTTAGATTCTGAGTACAGCTAATAACAGTATATTGATTTTACTATGACATATGCTTTTTATATTTTTGTTTTTGTTTATTAATAACTTTTTTACCAAAAATATTGTTCTAGTTTACGAATGTAGTATCTTTTTTGATAGTAAACTATTGTGCCTTGTTGGTGTATTGAAGAGGTTAAAGTAGGTTAATTTTTCCTGTAGAGTATTTGAATAATTGAAAAAGGAAAACCAGACAAAAACTTAGAAAAAACGCAAAAATGTATGGCTAACTTTTTCATTACCTGTGTTGTGTTTTTTTATACGGTTTGGATAAAAATAATTTTGTAGATACGAAATCGTTACAGAATACTACGTTGATATTAGCCCTTTCTTACAATTTTCAAAATATTATGGCGATTTTCGAGCATTATTTATAGGTTGTTGATATTTTCGAGGGTTTTTTATTTGGGAGGACGGGAAGGGGACTGCGCGTAATCTGTCTTAAAAATCCTTACGCTGTCTCACCTGCGAGTGCCGGATAGTACCCAAACGTAATTTTACAATTATTACACGCGTTTGCAATGTAGATAATATCAATTACTATCGTATACGAACACGTGTCATACTTTGTAAAATATTACGCGTGTTTTTTTTCTGTTCGCTTGTTGTCGGCCAGCACAGTGCCGAGCTGACGTGGAGAGACGTACAACATTTATTAGCGAGAAACTGCGAAACGGCGCCGTTGATGAACAACTTGGGCTGGTCCACCAACGCGGCCGGATTCCGTTTCAATCCCCAGTTCGGATTCGGACTGTTGAACGGCTACAAATTAGTAAAAGAAGCCGCGGCCTGGCGCACCGTTCCGGAGAAATTCATATGTGCCGTGGACTTTGACATTCCGTAAGTCGTCAAAAATATATTATGATTTTAACATGTTTATTATTATGATAAATTATAGGCTATTAGTCGATACAGCCGCTGTTTGGATTATACCGATGAATTTACTAAATAAGATTTTGGTCCGGGAAATTACAAAAAAATACAAATTTAAACTGTGTAGATAATGGGTTTTCTTTTTATCACTGATAGTTTGAAATTTGGATATTTTTTCCTTCGTATACATTTTCGATAGATTAATTTATTTTAATGTTAAAGAAATCTAGTTTTTTATATGCGATTAATAATAGTACATATTTTCAAGATAAAAAAATCGGTTATTTTTGAAATTATTCAGACTTGGTATACCGCCACCGCTTCTATTATATGCATAGGGCCTGATAAATGATTTTTTTTTTTTTTGCTCGTCATTAAATTATACATTTTGGTAAACCAACTCCTTCCTTTAAAATTCTTGCATATCTAAAAAAAAAAAGGTCTAGCTGCTACGCCTATAGTCATTGATATTATATAGAGATATACGTTTTTTGAAAGAAATCATTGGAAAAATATGCTTTTAAAAAAAAGAAAATATTATTTTAACTATAATATAATAAAAGTTTTGTAAAAATAAAAAATCGATTCGTACTAACATTTGTATTTCTCTTCATCTAAACAAACAAAAAAATTTTGATATTTTTAACAATGATAATTGATAACAAAAATTACATTTTAACGATTAAAATTTTAATTATTATCCGATGTCACATTTAACAATTAACGATTGGTGTATGTTTTCAATCAAAAATGATCGTCCGTTTGTCCGTTAAAAGATTTTTGTAGCGAGAAAACGAACGTTCTACATCGGTAACTTAGAGGTATGATCTATGATCGGTAACTAGTATACAGGTATTATCAAATTATCATCACCTGATAAACGTCGATATTTTAAAACTAATTTGTGATTTTTGATTCATCGAGTTGAAAATGTCGTGAAAATTTACGAAATTCTTAATATTATCTTGTAGTGTACCAAATCCTTGAAATATGCTTTGAAATCGCAAAAAATCATAAAATATGCTCTAAAATTTCTAAAACGTCAAAATATGCAAGATACAATTTTGTATATAGACTCGTGGGGCCATGAAACACATTTTGGTATTAACTAGCTATTTTTTCGACCAACCAGTAAAATTATGCAAATAAATATTTGTTAGTTTGCCTTAATTATTATTATAAAAGTATTGTAATATGACGGTTTCGGCGGAAATTACTGCGCGACATCTGCAATTCAATAATATAACGAAAATTACTAACTATGGTCCGGTGTATATGAGTACTATTGATAATAATGATTGTTATGGCTACAACTCGACGGAACAATAACAATAATATTTGGTGCCACGTTGTTTTAGTCGGAGCGGTAAATATTTCGGTCGGGTCTCGAAATTCGTGTCCTCGGTAAACGTCGACGGTTGCGACGGTCACGTCAAACATTTAGAGCACGTGCAACTGTCAATGACCGTCAAACATCCGAAACGCGGTGTTGTCGAGGTGGATCTGCGTTCGCCAAAAAGTAAGAGAAGTATTATAAATCGTGACTATAAGCTTATAAATGTATAATATTAGAGTTCGCGGTGGTGGGCGGAATTCACTTGGACCAACGAAAAAAAAAACACGATAGAGTTGGACTTTGGAATTATGTTGAGAGCGACACGCGTTCATGGCGATGGGGTAGGGGGAAAGTAGGTACTATACGTACTTGCGAAAAACGCAAACAAACGAAATTTTCTGAACGTACCTGCAGTTTTAATTAAACCGAAATTCTCTAAAAAAATTCTTGAAAAAAATGTACAGAAATAAAATGTCGAAATTCCACGCTCCCTGCTCCTAAACGGGTCGTGTGTTCGCTCGGACGAAATCCGCCGGCCGCCGTTTTCGGTTTCGCGTTAAAATCATTATTTTTATATTCGTGTATATTATTTCGCATAGACACCGTTTGTAAAATGATGGAGCCGAGGCCGTTGGACGAATCGGACAAAGGATTTCTCGAGTGGAAAATCAAGTCGCTGCAATACTGGGGCGAAGACCCTTTCGGAGAGTGGACGGTTTTCATCAAAGACGAAGTACGATGGATATTATATTATACATGTACACACACACACACACACACACACACACACACTGCAGTCCTATAATTAGTTACGTACACGATATTCTTCGATCGATAGTATACGAAATACGCTATATTTTTTTTTTTTTTTCTATGTCCGTGTCACGTGACGGTTGTTCATACACAGTTATTGTTATTTACATTATATTATATTATTGACTTGTCTCTGAAATTCGAACTCGCGTGGTCACTCGGTATATTATGGACAACCATATATTCTATACACATTTCTACGACGCAAAATATTATGAAATTCGATATAATATTATGTAATCGATTCGTCAGAGAACAATATTGTCGTTAATGTGCTGTTTTAGGTAATAGTACGTGATAATTTAAAACGTAAAACCGAGAAAGAGAATAATATAATATGGCAATAACAATTGCCGCGGCTCGAAATAAAAAGAATTTAATTTTTTCGTTTAAATATTTAAACCACGCCATAAAACTGCGGGCGATTCGTACAAAATTATTCTTTAATGCACTCGGCTAATTTTCAAATGTTTTTCTTTTTTTTGCTAGACTTCCAGTTTGTACGCCGGCTTGTTCGGATCGGTGGAAAAACTCACATTGATAATGCACGGCACTAGAGAACATCCTTACAATTAAACAAAAAAAAGTGTTATTTTTTATGTATTGTTATATTATAATATTTGTATTTTGCACACAATGATGTACTCAATATCAATAAAATGTTGTATTTTATTCCAGTATGCAAAACCAATCAAATTGTGTGAAATGTCCACAAATAATAATAATATTATATTACAAGTACGACACGACGGTCATCGTGTTTCATCCGTTTTTTAATTTATTAATGATAATGTGGTTTGCCTGAATAGCAATATTTTTTTTTTTTTATCTCAATTTGATGATAATTGGGAAATCGGGTTATCCAGAAATATATTTAATAATTAATTAATCTGGATAAATATTTTTAAATCGTAATTAGTAGGTACACATTATGTAACTATTGTATCTAATAAATAAATAAACACAAGTTGGATACTCACTACGCATGCGTGAGCCAGTCATAAGGGTAATTAAACATTAAAATCAATACTATACCCACCTAACTATATATTACCTATGTATTGAAAATAAACTTCACCGCTGATTGTTATAACAATTCATATGAAAACTCAATGGCGTAATTTAGGCTCACTTAGGCTTAGATTTTAGGGGAGATGGACTTATTCTGAAAATTGTATAGAAGGTTGCTATACGAACTTTTTAGCCAAAACTTATTTTCAGTGGTATGGAATAGAAAAAAAGGTCATAGTACTAGTTTAATAATTTAACATTGTCTTAATTTTAAACAAAATAATTGATTTGTTGATTGGTGGATAGAAGTACAGATATTAATAACAAACAAATTATACGATTTTTAATATAACAGGTCTACTTTTCTTGACTTTAAAATCATTTCATTGAGTCGTTCAGCTAAATCTACATTTATGTGAACTAATAGCATAGCCAATATGTTTAATCGATTGTAATCAAAATAAATATTTAGTTATTAGGTACGTAATACCAGTGTCGGATTTTCAACATTTTTCTGGAAGGAATCCTGAAAAACCGCAAACGAATTTCAAAAGTAGATGCTTTATTTTTAGTCTACATGTTACTGAAATTATATCGGTATCGATATAATTTATGTATATAGGGGGATCCAGACCCCGAGATCTGACCCTCATTAAATCCTTAACTGCGTAATACGTATGTATTCTAATTCTCAATAATAAATACAGAGAAATCTCTAAATACCAGATACCGTAGGTCATAAAAATGTTTTCCACTATTTGGAGGTGTCCGGTATTCAGGTGGGAAAAAATAAACTAAAACACGAACAGGACAACTTCACATGGCATAAATTAAAAACATATTTTCTTCGATCCGGTAACGTTTCAATGACTGGACAGATAAGTAATATCATCGAAATAAAATATAGCCTTTAAGAATAGACCTTTATCAATTCTACAATTATTCTTAATTTAAGATAAAAATGATTTGAATCAAAAGTTAAACTGACGTTTAAGTGTCCAGGGTTTAGAGGTTTTCCTATATATATATACGTATTGTGAAAGTGCCCTCGAGGAAATATCGTTTCCGAAAAATTTCCGCTATTTGGAGGTGCCTGTTTTAGAGGGGTCCGTTATAGGAGGTTTCACAGCGTATCTCTGACATCGTATTCCGCAAGTAGTTTTTAACGGTGTAATGTTAGCTACCAATTAGTTATGCTGTTGGTCATCATTTAGTTTGAATTTAATCAAAAACATTTAAATGCGTATTTATATAAACATCCCATTCATACCTAGTTTTACCATTTGTATATACTTAATAACTATAAAAAAAAGACCAATGGGAGGGAGGGAGGGAAGGATTTGACACCGAAGTCCTTCCGGCTCCCTGTGATTATGTCACTGTACAGACTGTACACGATTTATGCGCGCCTCGAGTTATTTTCAACACTGCAATGATATACGGTAGTATTATATTTGTTGCAGACCTTAGGTGATAAGTTATACGCGCGGCAGCGTTTTGCGGTATATTGAACACTCTATATACCTACATAGATGACGTTTCTATTCACTATCGTCGTGGTACTTACCTATACTATACATATATATATAATATAAGTTCCAACAAAAAGCGATTATACTCGGTACATTTTAACTCGAGCCGTCGAAAACTTTCCAGTCGATTCCGGAAAAGACGCGGTTGTCGCGTGAGGCGACGCTAAAAGTTGTTAATCCCGGACCAATGACCACACGCGTGCAGCAGTGTTGTACGCTCTCCGTGCAATAAAAGTATACCTGTACAGCATTTATTTAGCTAGCAAATATAAAACCGTCATCATAAAAAATACGGACAAATTTCATCTGCAGTACGACGAACGAATAATAAGGCATGTTGGAAATGAAAACTTTTTCAAATCTATTGCCGAAGGTATCTGTCCGTTTTTAGTTTCGAAACTGATGACGCATTGTAGAAAAAAAAAATCAATTACAAATTCGGTTAGGCATTGAACGAAAGCGATAAGAATATAATGGATCCGTATTATTTTAGATTCGAGAGAGAAGCAAAGAATGTTGATATAATTGGTTTTACTATGATGTGTGTTTTATATTATTTTTTTTCGGTAACTTTTCTACCAAAGAGTAAAACGACGGCAGGTGTATATGAGGAAGATAGGAGGGAATCGGGTTGAATGGAATTTCAGGACGAGGGTGGCCGACCTCATATAATCAGACCAGTGGTGGTTCTTGACAAATTCCGAGGGGCGAAATATTTTTTACATCAAAGACAATCCTTAAAAATAGTAATCAAAAAAAAAAAAATTGTTTTCTAAATTTAAAAATTTATTTCATGTAATATTACAAAATTTTCATTGCATTTCGGTTTTTTTGTTTTGAAAATCGGTCTATAATATTTTAGTTGGTGGTACGTAAACCACCGGTGCCCGTCACATTATCATGGTCGTATCACATGCCCGCCATAGGACCGTCACTGAATCAGACTGAAGGCAAATGAGAAGAGTTGGTTTTTTGTAAGGTAACATCTTTCTTTTAATAAAAAAAAAAATGGTCAAAAATTGAACACGGGGTTGTACAGAGTGGTGAAGAAAAAAATTGTACATCATATTATAATCTTTTTCTAACGTTTTTAAAGTAAAAACCGTGGAATTTCAAAATATAATAATATAATATTTAAGCAAACTTTGTTCAGAATCAAATTTTGCTATGTATGAATAATATTTATATATATAGAAGGTTTCGTTAGATTTTTTTTTTTTTTATATCAAACTATTAAAATACGTTTTTCCGCGGTCGTTTGTTCTTTTATATTTTATCGTTCGATCCCCTCCGCGTTTACCGCGTATTCGTATCACCGTACGAAAAAAAAAAAAAAATGTTTAAATAACAACACTTAGTCCGTTCCTTCCATCCCACCCCACAAAAAATATATTAATATCATTGTACGCAATTGTTTCGACATGCAAATGATAAACTCATTTTGTTTTTGCATGTAGCTATATGAAAACACGATTCAACAATATCAACCCGTCAGTCTGCGTCAGCCAGCTCATACGCGTTCGCGTTTATATTTTATTAATCAACTCTATATAATATGCATATATACTTACGATTGTTATTATTATTATGCACTCAAACTAATTAACTTGACCGTACTACGGTGCAAAGTTTCGTATAAACCGAATTACAATGTTTTTCAATTATGTATAGTTCGTCCGATACACTGCAGTTTTGTAATATACACAATTTGATTACCGAAGTTATCGTCGCGGTAACCTACATCGTTTTATTTTTTTATATTTTTGTACAATTTTCTGAACATTCTTTTTATTTATCCGTAATGTGCTTATTTAAGAGGAAAACAGCGTAAAGTGAGCAGTGACATATTCAGAGGGACCAAGGGGGCAATTGCCCCGGACAGCACTTTTTCGGGGGCAGCAAATTTTAGTAAGTGTTTTTTTTTTTTCTAAAAATAGATTTACAATAATGACTTAGGTAAATCAATTCCAACGAAACACTCTATGAATATTTGCACAGTACAATCGAATCTTCACGTTTGACAATACTCGCGCTGCACGCGTATTGATTTGTCTAATACCTAAACTAAACATAACATCTTGTGGGCCATAATGTTAGTAACATGCATCTGTTGTCAACCGCTAAGTGATAATGTAATGATAATTTAATTTAAACCATTAATGATTTAGAGCAAACCTATTTTACAGACATTTGGGTAGGTACCAGTTAAAACAAAATGCCTGTAGGGGAAACTCTTGGATATTGATTATCGTTACACGAAAATAACTAAAAATCAATACTATTCACATGCAACACTTCCACATGCAAATTCATTTAGAAATAATGATGAAATAAGGATATTAGTGAAAAAATAAGCGGCATAAAGAATTCGCCCAACTAAAACATTTTTAATAAAAAAAACGTAAAGAGCAATTGTTTTGGAAAAATCGTGGACAATTTCAAAACAATTTTTATTTATAGTAGGTATCACGCATATACTACCAAGCGAAATATTTTAATATTAGTTAAGTTTGAAGAAGTATAGACCCACTAATAAAACAATTTTCCAAAATTCAATCTCTTATAAAAGGGTAAAAATAATAAAAGAGGGTAAAAATAAAAAATGTTTTTTTCTTAACCAAACGATTGGACCTATAGAGACTTGAAATATTGCAGGTAATATATATCTATAATGGTGTGTGGGTAAGTTAAGAAAGGATATATTTGAATATATTGAATAAAAAATTGTATATTTTTTTATTTTACTATTTTTTTTATTTTGTACAAAAATTGTACCAACAATTTTGCCCCGATATACCAAGTGTAGCACTTTTTTCTGAAAGGGAATTTTATCTAGTTGGTACTTTAAAAGGGTAATTTTTTAAAAGTCTAAAACACGTAACAAAAATTTACTATCTACTTTTAGCTTTTTAAAAATACTGCTATTTGAATTATGCGATACAAATCTCAAATCCTAAGAAGGTTATAACTCCCAAATTCCTCTCTTGGTTGCATTGCTATCTACGTGCATTTACTTAATGACTAATATAAATA